CTAGTTTTCGTCGGGTATCCTATCATCGCCCGTACGTCAATATGGCTGGAGTTCGAGCTCCAAAACAGTGGTGCTTAACAAAACATGAAACTATTACGTCTTTCGAAGCTTGGAGGCAAAATTTACAGTATACACTATCGCTAGACCAGAACTTTGCTGATTTCCTGGTGGATGACTCCACATGGCTAAAAAAAACAAATGCAAACCCACTACGTGGACTTGTCGACGATGAAGAGGCAGTGCCTGAAGAAAATCGTCGAACTGCAGCTCAAAAAATTACACACTTGGAGCTTATGCTAGGCCAGGTTGCTAATTACTGCCCCATTATTTCTCGGAATACTATTGTGAAAAATTCTACGTCTGTGAAGAATATCTGGCAATCTATCAGACAGCATTTTGGGTTCCAATCAACTGGTGCACATTTTATAGACTTTAATGCAGTACATCTACAGGCCGATGAAAGACCAGAAGATCTATTCCAGCGACTTACAAGCTTCGTTGAAGATAATCTCCTCCAATCGGATGGAAACATCAGACACCATGGTGAGATTCCAGCTGATGATGAAGAAATGACACCATCTTTAGAGAACTTTGTGACATTAACATGGTTACGTTTGATACATCCTGATTTACCTACATTAGTGAAACAGCGATATGGAACCGAGTTACGTTCACAAACATTAGCTTCCCTTAAACCGGAGATATCTCAAGCTCTTGACAGCCTTATGGACGAAATTCACTCTGCTGCAGATGCTAAGGTTTTACGTACTGCTTTTACAGAAAGGTCACAGGAAAAATCGACATACTCTGGCAGACGTGATAGAAGTGCACGTGTACAAAATAAATCGTGTATAGTGTGCAAACAAGCTGGCCGCCCTTACCAACACTTCCTCAGTAGCTGTAAATTTTTGCCGGAAGCTGATCGCAAGTATATGTCTAAGGCCAGACAATCCGTAGCAGTCGACGAGATATCAGGGAGTGAAGGTGAAAATGAAGACACAATATTTACTACACACTCAGATACCCATAAAGAACAGAAGATACATATGGCAGCTTCTCGTCGAGTATCAACCAAGCAGTCGCCGTACCTTAGGGCATTTTATCATCACGTTCCGCTTCAATTAACATTGGACACTGGGGCAGAGATCAGTATGATAAAGGCATCTACTGCAGAACACATCGGCGCATACATAAAGAAAAGCAATCAAAGTGCTCTCCAAGCAGATGGAGTTACACCTCTTGGTGTCATTGGGGAAACCCATCTGACGTTGAAGAGAAACGATATAGATTTACATCTAGAAGCTCTGGTTGTGCAAGACCTAGACGTGGACATTCTTGCAGGTATACCATTTTTGGATGCAAATGACATTTCTATCAGACCAGCTAAACACGAAATCATTATTGCTGGACGTGATCGAGCGTCCTATGGCCAAGTTGCATCAAAAAACAATCAAAGTCGAGTACGACGGACACAAGCCTTCGTAGTAAGGGCGAAATCAGCATCGACAGTTGTGTGGCCTGGCTGTTACGTGGAAGTCCGACGCCAATTGACATTGATCCTGATAGTGTAATATCTCTAGAACCGCATTCAGATCGTCCTGCTAGTGTGAAAGAATGGCCACATCCCCACATTACGGAATCTATTGGTGGGAAGATTCGTATTTTAAATAATACAACAGAACCTCAACATCTGCGACGAAATGAACATTTTGTAAATTTAGGCAACTTGCACAATCCAAACCGACGACCAGGCGAGTATAATAAACCAGCCTACACCCAGTTTGCCTTAGCGCTAAGCTCCAGTTTGATCAAGTTAGACCCTGATAACATCTATCTGAACAGATACAATTCAATTCAGAGACATGCAGTCTCGATTTGAGGGGTATGTATGTCCGAGTCCTGGTATCGTGGATACAATGGTGCTAACGACCATTCGAAGCTATTGTAAATACTGGCCAACTCAGCCCCCTCAGAGAAAAGGCAGGCGATGGATTGTGGGTTGCCG